ACTCTACTTCCTGGATTATGCTTGTTCTCCTGGGATCCTGGGTTTATTGTGTGTACAGGACAAAAGTATGTTGGTTAGGATGATAAATTATATGGCCATGCTAATTCTAACTGATTTTCTGATGAGCTTTTGTCTGCTTGGTGGAGAGATCTTTGTGTTCATAACTTCCTGGTTCTAGAAAGCCTGGTGCAGTGTGATAAGGAGCCCAAAGTCATGTACACCTAGATTTGAATCTCAGCTTCTCCACTTACCAGCTTTGTGATCAGGAGCAAGTTACTTAAACTTTCTGAATCTCGATATCCTTAAGTAGAAAATGGGAACCATAACAGTACCTACTTCAAATAATCAATTGCGAGGATAAAATAAAATAGTATACAGGAAGGCACTAGCAGTGACTGGAACCCAATAAGTAATAATTTCCTTCCTTTTATGAATTGGAGAATTTGGGAGACTAGATGCAGCTGTGTCTAACTTCATGCCAGAGAAATTTCATCGCTACCTCTTAGGAACAAAGTGGGTTACAAGAGTCACCTGTGGGCTTTTCACAGCTATCACCTCGCTTGATAACCTGACTCTGAGAGGAAGGTGTGAGGAAAGGGAGGCTCTGAGAGACTAAGTGATGTGCCCAAGGCTACACAGCTGGGTAAAAAAGTCAGGATTCAATTCCAGGCCTTCTGACTCCAAAATCTACATCCACCACCTGCCTCCACACTCGCTTCTTGGCCCATCTTCCGAGAACCTGCCCTTTACAGCCACATTTCTCGGTTAGTCATCTGTCCACACTGCCCCCTTGGAGGCCAGCCTGAGGGAGGATGCTCTTTGTTCAGTGGCAGAGGCAGCGCTGTGGGGAGCAGACGTCCAGCTCCACTTCCAGCTCCTGGGCAGCTTTGCGGCAACCTGATCTGGCTCCTCCCTGTCTGCACAGCTAGGCTAACCTGCTGCAGGGAGCCTGGGGAGCACTTGGAGGGAGGTTACAGGCATTTTAAGGTCCTTGTTGAGGTAGATTAATGTAGCCATAATTTTCCCAACTGTTTTATATTTATTGTGAGACCCCGCTCCCTATGCCCCCAGAAGCATTGTCCTGTCTGTTCAAAAACCTCAGATGGGCACAGAAAAAAACTAGCCAGCATGAACACCTGTTTGCCTGCACGCTTTGAGCCTTCTATTCTGAGCATTTGAACAGGGACCTTCCTTGACCCAGGGGTATGGCCTTCCGCCTGGTATTTCAGGTGGTGCCAGCAGCTAGCAGCTCCCTGCTTTCACCCACTCCCAGGTCATCATGGCGCTGGGCTTGGCCTCAGCAGTGCTCACCAGGACAGTGGTCACCCTTGACCTTTGCCAGGCATGCACCAGCAGGGCAGAGAACTTTCTCTAAATAATATATTTCTTAACAGTATTACTTTTTCCTTGTAGACCAATGTTTCACACAAAATGCCTTTTCTCCATTACCTCATTTAATCCTTGTCACGTTCTATGAGGTGATGCCAGGGTTATTGTTTACAGATGAGGGAACTGAGGCACAGAGAGGTTCAGTGACTTAGTCAAGGCAACACAGCGGGTCAGCAGAAGGGCCGGGCCTTGGGTCCAGGTCTCCTGATTAACCGTCCAGGGCTCTGTGTGCCGCTTCCCATGCCATGCTCCTGCACAAATTAGATTGTGCTACCAGTTCCCACCTACCTAATATTAGCAGGCCTGGCCTTCTTGGGGCTTCCAGATAATGCAGAGAAGGGAGAAGCAGAACCTTTGGAAACTTTCTTGATCAATATTACCTGCTGGCAAAGAAGAAGTAATATAACATATCAAACTCAGCCCAGAGAATTAAATTCCTAAAGCTTATGTGAGTTAGCCTTTTTTCCACACTGCAATTGTCCACTTCAGTTCAGCCTTGCCTATCACCATAAGAATCTACATCCCGTAGTTAACAACTGAGAAAGAGAGATGGAAGGGGTGTGATGCTTTCCTCAGGGCTCTCTTTTCTTCTGGTGGGTTCTTGGCAACTTGGCACCTGTTCCAAATCTTGTTACTAACCTCATGAGCCCAGAGGGTCATAGTACTCTTCTAGCTTAGTGCTGAGTCCACCTAAATCCACTCGATAGCCCCCTACTATACACTCATAAAACAGGACAAATTAAAAAGTACAGGTAAGGGAAAGGCGAAGGATTGTCTCTTCAGCTATTTTCCAATCACCAAAGGAATCTGTGAAAATGCTCCAAGACCAAAGTTGCTGCAAAATGCCACCGGATGGGCCTACCCCTTAGTAAGGAAAAGGTGGGGTGTTAGGGAGGCTGTACTCTTTAACCTCTCTTGCCAGAGAGATAGCAGTTCCCAGGGGTATCACCTTGAGCTAAGCTGCTCACACAGTCCATGTTGATGACTCCAGCTTTGGCAGTGAGGACAGATGAGAAACATGGCTGTAAAAGGCAGGTTCTTGGAAGATGGGCAAAGAAGCGAGTGTGGAGGCAGGTGGTGGAATAGAAAGAGCATAGATTTTGGAGTCAGTGTCCACGCTGCTGCCCAGGTTGGTGGAGATGCCACAAGGCACCCAGCTGCCACATGGAGGGAAATAGTCACCTCCTGCACACAAGTGGGTTCCTCAACACCGTGTGTACGGTGGTGGTGGTGGTGGTGGGAGGGGTTTGCTATATTTTGTGAGTTAATTATTTAGTATAATATAGATCCTTTTGGTTCTTTCAAAATCATACTACCAAGATAACATCGCCAAACAAGGAGGAGCGGGCTATTCTAGCATTACAAGTAATAGTAAAAACTAACATGTATTGAATGCTTCCTAGGCACAGGCCCCATCTGAGGACTTTGTATGTAGTAACTCATTCAATTTTCATTAAGACCTGGGTGATATCTATTTTTATTTTCCCCGATTAACACTTGAGGAAGTTGAGGATCTGCGATGACAGGTAATCTGTTCTAGGTTACACAGCTACTAAGAGGTAGAGCTGAGCTTCCTAATCGTACTGCTGCTCTTTGGGGTTTTTTGGGCACTGCAACCACAGGCCTCTAGTCCAGTCATCTGCTCTGCTTTGGTTTCCTAGTGCATCATAGCTTCGTGGAGTTTTACTTGCAGGAACCAAGAAACAAGGACACCAGCATCGTGATCACTTTCCTTAGTAGCAATGTCACCTCCTCAGTCAAGATCACCATGTAAGTAGGTGTTCCTCATGGCTGGCCTCTCTTCTTAGGATATAGTTGCTTTTTCATTTTACACACACACACACACACACACACACACACACACACACACACACACACACACACCAGGACAGGCACTGTGTCATCACTGATGAGTGAGCCTAGCCCAGTAAGCTGAGGGCAGAATCTACCACAGACGTACTCACAGACATGTGCTGGGCAACTGTCCCAGGTTCAGGATCAGCACGGGGTCCAAGCATAGTGTATTCAGACAAGAGCAGATGAGGCAGGCAGGCACTAGTGATGGGGTGTCCCAAAAGGTGGTGAGAACATATGAATTTGGTCTCCGATAGGAAACAGTGCTTAGGAATCCAGGCAGAGGGCATCAGGGATGTCAGCAAGTAGGAGGGCCTCGGCCACTAGCCCAGAGAGGGCTGGTCAGAACCTGAGCAGCGGGGCAGTACTAGGTCAGTCACCAGAACAGAATTGCGGGCAAAATGTGAGCTAGCAAATAAATGCAAGGAGAGGGCTAGCAGGCTTGATGCTGGGTAGTGTCAACATAGTTTTTATAATAGGGGCTGAGCATTTCCTTCCTTGTTGGGCTACATCAGCTGGTTGGGACCAGGCTTGAGGTGGGAAGGCAGAGAACCTCAACTCTAGGGCATCACATGTCTGGTGGGGAGAGAAACTCAGCAGTTCATATTCTTTTAAAAAGCAATTGTTTAGTCACTCACAAACCAGTAGGAGACACACTAATTAGATAAGTCATTGTCTCAGTCAGGGTTTAGTCCAGAAACCAGAGCCCAAGTCAGGTAGGTGGTCCAATTATAAGGAATTTAACTCAGGGTGCCAATGATAAATTGGGAGTGTTGGAAATCCCAAAGGAGGATGGAGACATAATGCAGAGATCAGCCACAGGAGGAGCCACTCCCACCCCAGGGCTGGAGGGACAAAGCCAAGGGAGGTATTGGCAGAGCACAAGTCAGAGGCGGGGCTGCTGGCAGAAGCTGGAAATGGAGGAAACACAGCCCCTCAGGAATGATTGCCCAAAGCGGTCTCCTACCTGTGCATGTCTCCTGTGCATTAGACCTCTCTGGAACCTGCTGCAGAGGGAGCCTGAGAAATGTGATTTGCAGGAGAACGGATGGAGCACAAACAGGACAATGACCAGTGTGCACACAGAAATGCACAATTGTCAACAGTGGCAGGTGCTATGAGAACCTGGAAGAAGGATCCTGACCGAGTATGTGGAAATGATGCTTGAGTAGAGATTTAAAGATTCACAGGGGTGACTCAAAACAGGGGTTAGTGAGAATATGACACTGAAAGCGGGCAGTGGTGAGGGGGTGAGGCCTAGTGAGAGGAGGCTGGAGGGGCAAGTCAGGACCACACTAAGCCAGTCCTTGAAGGACAGATTACGGATTTGAGTTTTTATCCTGAGAGAGTTTGGGGAGCCACCGGGAGTTTTAAGGAAGAGAGTGACTGGATCAGATTTGGGTTTGGGTACCGTTCTCAGGCTGCACACAGTAACCGTGCTATCAGGGAAGACAAATGGCTGCTGAGACGAGCACTAATCTTGGCTCCCAGACACCCTGCCACCAGTCAGGGTTCCAGCTCACCAAGGCCACAGAGCGAAGATAGCAGGCAGTCAGGACCCCAACGTGGATCTTCAGGTGCCTACATGAGTCCTGCAGATTGTAGCTAAATAATTTTCCTCAGATCGTTTCAAGGCCGTGTTATTTCTGGAGGGGGGTTTTCAACATCTCTCCAGCCCATTGGTAGATGAGCCAACAATGGCAGAGGTTGTGACAATGACACACACACAACTCTGGTTGCACTCACCTGGAGAGCTTTGGAAAATATTGCCGCCAAACCACACCTCAGACCAGTCACAGCCAAATCTCTGGGCATAGCCCCAACAGCTATGCTTTTAAAGGCTCCCCGAGTGATTTGAATGGACATCCACAAATGTCTTTACCTCTCTCCCAAAAGATTTATATTACTCTCTTGAAGAATGCTCTCAGAACATGATTATCTTCGATTCCTTGGATTTTCTTTTCTCTTGCAGAACAATAATTTTTTAAAAAGT